GTAGCGCCAAAACCTGGCTGAACCTACACAAGATAAGTTTCACCAGCTGGGAAAATTTCAAGAGCCGCCTAATTGAGGATTTTGCCTCAGACGCCAATAAAGAAGAAATGAAGATGAGACTAAACAGGATGCAACAGTGGAATGAACCTGCAATCAGGTTCGCAGAGTATATCCTTGTACTGTGCAACAAGGTCGACCCCCAAATGGAAGAAGAGACTAAAATAAACTGGGTTATTGGAGGGTTAAAGAAAGAATACTCTTTTGCCCTTCACCTAAACCCTCCTAAAAATACCAATGAACTTCTAGAAATTTGTAAAAAGCTGGATTTGTTCGAAAATAATTACCAAAAACGTGCAGAAAAATCAAGAGCTCTATATATTGGACCACGCTCTCCTCGTCCCCATCATCAAGAGCAATGGAAGAATGCTACGTCGTTCAGAAGACCATATCAGAACACCTCCATGCCCCAGGCCCCCACTCCGAAGTACTACCAGAACAAGCCTCTGCCCCAGGTATCTGCCCCTAGACGATCTTACACTCCCAATCCTGAGCCAAAACCGGTCTACCCAAGTAAAACATACAATAAGAATTCAAATAGGAATAGGACAGAAGACGGGAGACCAATATGTTTCAAGTGTAACAAGCCAGGACACGTAGCGCGGTATTGCAGAGTCAAGTTTGTGAGGATCGTAGAAGAGGACCCCTCAGTTTCCCAAGACAAGAGTCAAGAAAATCATCAAATGGACGAAAGAAAAGATTATACACGGCCTCGCCTCTATGCGGATGTTTGTAATGACACACAAACGAATATTCCTACACGGAATAGATATTCCGTGTTGGAAGATTTAAACTAAGTGTCGCGCCTGATTCCTTCAATCAAAGCAAGTCGACCATAAATGGAATTAGAAAGTTGGACCCTAGGTACAAAATTAATATTAATGTGGACAAGATAGGGTTATGCGAAGCTTTGATTGATACAGGCGCCGATCTTTCAGTGGTCGACCTAAGGACAGCACTTTTTGCTGGCCGTGAAATAAATAGTCTCACTAAAACATGTTCAGGACCCGATGGGAAAAAATAGATATGGTAGGTAGCATTATTTTAGATTTAAAAATTGATGACACTGAATTATCCCACGAATTTGTAGTAATGGACGCGCATCTACGAACTCTTTTTCTTGGACGAGATTTCCTTAAAAAAATGAATGCTAAAATTGATTGTAAACGAGAAACGATGAAATATAATTTGATGAGTAATCATGACGTAAGCAATTATGATCTAAAAAAAATAAAGAGCACTACAGATACCGTTATACCTAAACTATCTATTAAATTGATTAGGGCCTCAATAGAAGCAGAGGATGGGGAATATGTCATCGAAGAGAACAACAAAATGACTCAAACAAATGGTCTTCGATTGGCAAGAAGTTTGCTTACTGTCACGGATAAGAAAACTCATATCTGGATAACGAACCCTTATCCTCGACCTTTAAAAATCATGAAAGACCAAACATTGGCTTATGGAAGTCTTCCTGCAGAGGTAAATTTTATAGAGAATATAGAGAAGCAGAATGAAAATGACGAAATACAATTTCAAATAAACAAAAATTTATCATTTAAAGAACAAGAGAGGTTAAAACAAATTTTGGCCAAGTATACTGATTTGTTCTCATCGAGGTTAGGCAGGACCAATTTGACAAAACATCAGATTCATACAGAAGACGCAAAACCGATAAAGCACAAGCCTTACAGGGTAAGTGCTAAGGAACGAACCATCATAAAGGATCAAATAGACGAGATGCTTGAAGAAGGAATAATTAGACCATCTTCAAGTCCCTGGTCCTTTCCCGTTATATTGGTCAAAAAACGAGATGGCAAATACAGATTTTGTGTGGATTACAGGAAATTAAATGAAGTAACAGTGAAGGATGTTTATCCAATCCCAAGAATTGATGATGTAATGGATTCTCTCCAAGGATCCAAGTACTTCTCAGCAATAGATCTCAAATCGGGATATTGGCAAGTCGAAATTGAAGAGAGAGACAAAGAGAAGACAGCTTTCACTACGGCACATGGGTTATTTGAATTCAACGTGATGCCTTTTGGACTTTGTAACGCGCCTGCTACCTTTGAGAGAAATATGGAGAATATGCTTGGAAATCTGAGATGGCAAATTTGTTTGTGTTATCTGGATGATGTTATCATATATAGCCCGGATTTCCCAACGCACCTCAAAAGACTCGAAGCTGTTTATAGATGTTTTCGTGAATCTAATTTAAGATTAAACGACAAAAAATGCCGATTTGTTTTTGAAGAATTGGAGATTCTCGGCTATATAACGAGCAAACATGGTATAAAACCCGCGGAACATAACATCAAAGCTATCAGAAATTTTCCTCGGCCCACAAAGGTCAAAGAAGTACAATCATTTTTGGGAATGTGCTCATATTATAGAAAATTTATCGAAGATTTCTCAAAAATTGCTGACTCTTTGACCAACCTTATTTTAAAAAGTGTATCATTTACCTGGACAGAAAGGCAAGAGGAAGCGTTTCAAACCCTAAAAACAGCACTATTAAGTCCACCAATCTTAGGGCACTTCAATCCAAATGCGCTCACTTATATTCATACTGATGCGTCCAACATCGGCATAGGTGCAACTCTTGTCCAAGACATCGGTGGTGAAGAGAAGGTGATCTCATATTTGAGTCGTACCCTGAGTAAAGCGGAGCAAAATTATTCAACCACTGAAAAAGAATGTCTGGCCGTTGTCTGGTCAATATCAAAATTACGACCCTACCTTTATGGAAGACACTTTAAAATAGTAACAGACCATCACGCCTTATGCTGGCTCAAAAACTTGAAGGATTCAACAGGTCGATTGGCAAGATGGGCGTTAAAAATTCAAGAATATGACTTCGATATAATACATAAATCGGGAAAGAAGCATCTGGACGCCGATGGCTTATCTAGGGGACCCTTACCAGAAACTAATTGGGATGAGGATTTTGAAAGGCTATTTTTAAATCAAATAACAGACGAAGAGGATAAATTTATCGAAAGTGTTGAGAAAAACCTTAATGGAAGCAGGCGATCAATTGCGCAAAACTTTAAAGAAGAAGATGGATGCCTCTTTAAGAAAAACCCGAACCCTGAAGGCAGGGCGTGGTTGCTTGTGGTTCCAGAGAAGAAAAAGAGAGAAATTATGAAAGAATATCACAATCATATGTCGAATGGCCATCTGGGCGTCGCCAGAACCATGTACCGAATAAAGAGTAAATACTTTTGGCCATCCATGCTAAAGGATGTCTCAAAATTCGTTAAGACGTGTCACCTTTGCCAAAGTAGGAAAGGCTCAAACCAATTACCTTCTGGACTACTACAGCCCATCCCCCCAGCCAACTTTCCTTTCGAAAGAATTGGAATTGACTTTGTTGGTCCACTGCCATCTACGAAAAACAGGAAAAAATGGATAATCGTGCTGACGGACTACTACACTAGATATGCAGAAACAAGAGCAGTCTCGGAAGCAACAGTGAAAGAAGTTTCTAAATTTCTAGTAGAGGATATTTTTCTCCGGCACGGAGCCCCACAATATCTTATTAGTGACAGAGGCTCTCAATTTACCAGTAATTTAATGAAAGAGGTGATGAAAACGTGCAAGATTAAACATTGCTTCACAACGAGCTATCATCCCCAGACTAATGGATTGACAGAGCGGTTAAATAGAACATTGATCAATATGCTCAGTATGTATGTGAACACTGATCAGAAGAATTGGGATGAAATACTCCCATTCATCACTCACGCTTACAATACTACAATTCAGGAAACCACAGGATATTCTCCCTTTTTCCTGATGTTTGGAAGAGAACCCACGTCTCTTTTGGACGACAGAAATATCTCGGTGGACATGGACAAGGATGATTATGATGAATACATAAAACATCACTTAGACAAAATAAACAGAACAAGAAATTAGTTATTAACAACACAATAAAGACTCAAGAAAGAATGAAAAAGAACTATGGCAAGAAACACATGGAAAGAAGCTACGAACCAGGAGAATTAGTGGCAGTTTGGACACCAATTAGGAAAATAGGAAAGTGTGAGAAACTACTGAGAAAATATTTTGGCCCATTTAGAATATTAAAGAAGCTGTCCAACGTAAATTACTTGATTGAACCAAAAGATAATCCTGGCCAAGACCCATTGATTGTCCATGTCTCAAGAATCAAACCCTATTTTGAAAGAATTGACGAGGTCAATCACGAGGACGTGACGACCTCTGGAGAGGGGGAAGTGTTACATCATGATTAATGGCGTATTTATTATATTATTTTTAATATATTTGAAATTTGAATTATATATTTATTTATTTTTATATAAAATATTCTATGATTTTATTTAAAACAGATTATTTAGATTATCATCATTTGTATTTAGGTACACGTGTGACTTCACTGCTCTCTTTGATGTGAGAAAATAAATAAAGGATTCTGGAGGCTACTTAAAGTAGACTTATCTCATTATTCCCTCATATAAATTTGTAGGATGGTTGAAACACGCTCTGGTAAGATGCAAGACCCAGCACAGGAAAGAATCAAGGCTGAAGAATCTGCCAAGCCGCAACCTGGCGCAACAATATAGGGATATATAATAATATAATATAATATACTAGCCGAATGACCCGGGCAACGCCCGTGTTTTACCCGATTGAATGTTTTGATTCAAATACTATTTGTTACAATTATAAATTGTGGTCATGTGGCCTAGTGGTCATGGAATCTGCTCTGTAAGCGGAAGGTCGTGGGTTTGATTCCCATCCCTTGACAATTTTTTTTATTTTATCCATTCTGACCAAAATCTATCCGTGAACTTCACACAGTGAACTTCACACAGACAGAATAAGGCAATTATAAAAGTAGATGTATGAGTACATTTTGTGTAGAAATAGGATTAGTTGACTTTATAAGGTAAACTTATTCATACAGTTTGTATCCCTCGATAGCTCAGTTGGCAGAGCGGAGGACTGTAGATGTTACAACGGTGATCCTTAGGTCGCGGGTTGAAATCCGGCTAGAGGGAGTTTTTTTTTAATTTTTATTGGCTGCCGGCGAGCACGTGACCTCCCTGTGCGCACGCATCCGTGACAGAGGCCGATGAGGAAAGACGGTCGTGACTATATATAGGGATGTTTTCAAAAAGTATGTGTTTCAAAAATATTTTTAAACGCATATAACAATATTTATATTTATATACGTTTATAAATTAATATATAGGTGGATTGGATGTTTTCTAGAATCGTTTTAACAAATGTTTGTTAGGCGAACTTTTACTCGGATAAAAACTGTGCGAAGCCGGGTACATTCGCTAAATACAGTTATTTACAAATCTTCGTTTGTGGCAAGACACTATTCCTTCAACTTTAAATTACCGAGTGGACCAATTAATACTGATTTTTTTAAACTTATTGAGTATTTTTCAAGGGACCGTGAAAAATTTATCGAGAGTGTAGACAAGTATAGATTCAGTAGGGATTGGATTTTTGCTAGAATCATTCTAACAAATGTTTGTTAAGCAAACTTTTACTCGGGTAAAAATCGGGCGAAGCCGGGAACATATATATACATACATACATCGACCGTGCGGCCACGCGTCGCGCGAGCTCCGTATGTTTCGCCTTTCATTCTACTGACTGCCCTTTCTACTCATTCTAAATCATACCATCTGATTCGCCGTAAGACGGGCTTCATTTTGAACCATCTTTCAAGAATTTTCATCAAGTTTGAATTTTTTTCTTTAATTTAATTTTCATAGGCTTGTAAATCTACAATTTGTAGATTTGCGGCATCACCATGGCAACAGCCGGGCCAGCTGTTGCGTCATTGTCGTTATAGGGCACCTCATTGGCTGCTCAAAAATCACAAGTTGCATCCTCATCATCGCACCTACAAATCGAAAATTTTGCATACATGACGCAAATTGATGAACAACGTGCAAAAATCAACACCCAAAGACCAAACTTCTCGCAAGAGGAACTAAGAAGATTCGACCAGGAATGAAAGGCGACTTATGAGAAGAGAAGTTTAACGACAAAATCGACTATGCAATTCGTCTCGCTCCCGGATTGCACGGCTGAGGAGCACCTGGACGGAATTGCCGAAGTCATAGGCCGTACTGGCATCCACTCCATTGGAAAGATCAACGGTCAAGCGATCGTCTCATTGGCCGGTGTCGAACAGGCAGAAATGCTGATCAACACAGGCTTTCAAGTCAAGGGCAAAACTACTATCTACCCCTACCCGCTTTTCAACATCCTGAAGAAGTACATCTTGTCCGGCGTGATGCTTTTCATCCGCGATGAGGATATTGTAAAGGTCCTACAGCCCTTCGGACAGGTATTGAGCGTCCGACCCCTACCCTTCCCCACCAGTAACCCCCTATACAAGCACCTATCCTCTTTGAGGAGAGAAATCGTCTTCAAGAAGAAAGATGACACCACCATGCCAGCTATCATCACCATCGACTACATTGGCAACAATTTTAAAATCTTTGTTGCCGAAGACGTCATTTGAGTGAGCTGCAAACGTCATGGCCATATCAGAGCCAAATGCCCTTTCGACCCCCGGATCAGGGAAGGCGTGACAAGATCCTTCGCCGACGCCCTAAATCGAAGAACACAGCCACTGACCCCTAAGCAACCTCCAGCGGAAAGAAATATCCCCACCGCAGAAGTGAATAAAACTTCCCTGGAAGAGGGACATCACGCATTGATTCCAGATAAAAAGGTAAAATCAATCCCCCCAGGAGGAGGAACAGCCACTCACACGTATTCTAAATCTGAGACCGACACAGAGATCGATAATTCTGATGAAGAAACATCCGCCAGATGCTCGCAATGGTCGATGGACTCCTCCCAGCTCCAGAAAGAGTTGATTGATTGCGATGACAGAGAAAACCCAGAAACAGAAAAGATCATTGCAGAGGTATACAGAAGAGCAGGCATATCTAGACAGATCAAGGTCCAACAACAACTTGAGTTACATCCCGACCTGAAGACTAAGATCACCCGCCACCTCGAGAAATACGAGGATATTAAGTCTAAAACATTCAGACCTTAAAAGTGACCAAAGAAGAACCCTCAATGATAAAATATGGAAAATGAGGCTAATTTTATCAGAGATTGACAATTTTTATGCAGGTGACGTTGCAAATCTACCAACGAAAAAGAGACCGCGCAAGGCGTCTCACGACGACATTATTGACCAACGGGTTAGCAAAAAACAAGATAAAAAATCTAAGTCTACCCCCCCAGGAGCGAGGACAACCCTTCCGCTGTGCGGAAATATGGAAGTAGATGGAGTAAATGTTACAGATAGGTCGACGACCTCTATACGGTCTCTAGATACTGAAAATGACGTCTACAAGAAAATCATCGAATTCATCCACTGCTCAGAAGATAGTATTAAAACTATAAGAGATATGAAACTAGATAATCACAACCTGGTCCACACAATACGTGATTACGCCGAGAAACTCCGTGAGAAAAAGAAACACCTGAAAGAACCTAACACCGACTCGAAGACAATTTTCGACAGAAAAATTGAAGAAGCAGAGTGGGTATTAGAGAAATAGGAGGAGCAAAAAGACATTTCTAAAGAATTCTATGCGAGATTTATGGCAGAAGATTTTACCTGGGATTAACTGATGCTTTCTCTTCATGTTTCTGCACGCCCTTTGCCGATTGTACTTGCCTCTTTTGACTGAATGAAGACCGTTTTTTTTGCGTTAAAACATAAATATATATATATATATATATATATATATATATATATGTCATAATTTGTAAATAACTGGATGTAATCCCACCACAATATGTATGCAATGTATGATCTAAAGATTTTTAATAAAGACAAGGCTTAGCCAAATTTGGAGAAAGGCCATCAGAGAGGAAACGGTCATTAGCAGGTTTTATTATCCAGGAACATATAAAAACTGAGTTCAAGAACCTTCGTTTCCGGGAGCATGTTAGAAAAAGACAAGGACAAAGGATTAGCAAAGATCCAATCAGAGCCCAGGAGGATTAGCTAGGAACCAATGGAAAACTTACACGAGTCGACAATCGTCCAATCAGCGCCCTGAGAAGTTTTCGTGTAAAAGCTCGGACTCAGTTTAGTTAGTTAGGAGCTCGGCACCACCGAAACAAGTCCAGCACCCATCTTCTCAACAATCAGATAAGTCCAATCCTCAATAATGTGAAACAACCATAGTTTATAGTCAAATACGCCAAATAGCTTAAACCCCTTTCTTCCTTGATCGCTGGTTTATTTCAATCCAATCCTGTGTCCTCGTTATTTTCCCCTGTGTGAATACCTTACTACTTCAGCAAACGACTGCGCCCATCACAATCATCAATCAATCAATCAACAACTCAATCAATCTCAAAAAGGTAATCGTTAAATATTACAGTGAGTCGACAGGATAAAATGGAAAGCGAACAGAACACAGAAGTCAAAAATAGCGGCGACCTGTCGAGGGAAGAAGTGGCCGCAGTGCTCGCCCAGGCGAGGTCGTCCGAACGAACAGAGGCGGAACTACCACCCTTCGATGAATCCTACAGCGCCCGCCAATTCTTCCAGTCTTACGACCGGAAGATGGACGACGCCCACGTGGACGCCCCCGATAAACTACTCCGGTTGCCGAACTACCTAACGCGCCAACCCCTGGAACTCTTCAGGAAACTCCGGTTAGCCACCCAGAGCTACTTCCAGGTGAGGCAAACCCTCACGGATCTCTTTCCGGAATCCAGCGAAGCATCCTTCGCTAAATACCTCGCCATGAAGCTTGCTGGTCAAGCAGACCTGGAGACGTATTACCGGGAGAAAACCGCCATGGGTTTACAACTGGGACTCCCACAGGAGGTGATCCTCGAGACGCTGACGGAGGGGTTGCCGCTCTCCGACCAGCGCCTGGCCCGCGTGGTACCTCCTGAGAGCCTGGGAGAGTGGTTCCGACTGGCACAGCGGATCCACGGGCCCAACGTACCAACTGCACGACACCGCGAGGAACAACCGCCCACCATGTCGGGCCCATACCCCAGCACACCCAGAAGAACAGGTGCATGGACTGCACCTACTCCGCCGTCAAACTGTAAGTTCTGCGGCGCTCGTCATTGGCACAGCGAATGCCGGTATAGGCCAGCCCCAACTCAACATGCAAACGCACGGGCAGTGCAAACAGCCCCAACTCAGCAGCATGCCCGGCGTCCCACACCCCCACCACACGCCGAAGACGTACAAGCCGCGCAGGCCTTTCGGAAATGAGGTAAGGCCTCAACCCTTTGTCGTCAACCAGTTGACGATGAAACTGTCCCTAACCCCTGAACTGTCACCCCCATTTTTAATTGACACAGGCGCAAGCTTGAATATAGTGCCCTATAATCTATATAAAATTTTAAAAACTAACCTCCCTAACTGAAAATTGAAGAAACAATCCCTAGACCTACAGGCCATAAATGGTTTTCTGCCGACAATAGGTAAACTAACCCTTCCCCTGACAATAGGTAAACTATCTTAAAAAGAAAATTTCCATGTGGTGGAAGCACCTCTACCATTTGGAATTCTCAGCACAAATACCCTCCGTAATTTTAAATTAGCAATAGACTTCAACCAAGGCACTATATTCCAGCTTGGCGCTCCATTGTCTACCCCTACCTACCATTTCAACCATGTACCCAATGAATGCACGTATTGGGAGTGCCAAGCGATGTCACAAAGGACTCACCATGCACCCAAACCTTCCGCACATGGCCCAATGCGCGCATCCATTGGTCAAAACCCGATCACCCACATGCCAATCTAGTCACGCGCACGCACAACATAATTTTTTCACTATGGTCAATTGCCTTTTTATATGCCCTCAATACACAAGGCCACAACGGCTCCAACTTGCAACAACAATGCACAAAACGTGTCCATCCAACAGGACAGCTCACACACAGAGCACACACGTGACCACACGTCGTCACACAACAGTCACACGCACAACCAGCGCAACAAGCGCGACACTCACACTAAAACCCAACA